GCTCCGTCCCGGGAAGGATGCGCCTCCGGGCGCCCCCCGCCCCGGGCTTGCCTTTCACTCGCCGCGCACCCCTGCGCCCACAGGCTCCTTCAGGGGCCCAGAAACCGGTTCCTGTCTGTTGGGCCGCACCAAGAATGAACTGGGCATAAACACAAATCAGTCTGCGTAAAATCAGTTCGGCTAGCATCAGTACACCTAGTGGGCATTTTGCCTGAAAGTCTACCTTTAGAACCTTAATTAAGAAAATTTTAGGAGCAGTTTATCAAAAGAACATTTTCTGCGTAATTTTGTATTTTTAATCACAACCAGATTTACAGCATTTTACCAGTGTATTTAAGATGGTTTTTAACACATTTGCCTGAAGACCTTTTGTTTAAAATACCGTTTCTAGCAATAATTAGTTGTAATATCTCTGATTTTCGCACAAAATTTGTGACACTCTCCCCCCTTTTTGCTGTTTGTTTTGGTCTCTGCCTTTTCATCTCATTGTGGGTGCCCATGAGCACTGCATGTTCTGAATTTGATTAAGTGATGCTGAATGTTTGTTTCTGCCTGATGGAGGCAGTTTACTTTTACAGAAAAATGATCAAGTAAGGTAGAAGAATCAGATTTCCTTGGATCTTAGTTTTTAAGCTCTCTTGTCCATATAGTGGTAATAATGAAGAAAAGCCAATCATCAAAGTATGAAATAGTGCAAAGAGAAGCACATATTTATTGCTAGAATTAAGTTCATTTTAAGCAGGGGACTTTTGATAAACTGGATACAAAGTCTTGAACACATTCAAGAATAGACAAAGAGAAAAAAACTTGTTTAATAAAATGGGGGTAAATTTAATGAATTATTAGGAATAATAAAATTAAGTCATATATACACGTAGGTAAATTGAATTCAGATATCTCAAAATGTAAAAAAGATGCAAGAAGAATAAGGAACCCGGAGTTCTGCAAACTACTGAACTAGGGGGTGGGGGTAAATTCTTAGGGGGTGGGGGCTTAGAATTGAATATTAAGCAAACATGTTTCAGGCAGATTCTCCTGGAGTGAGCTTGGTTGTTTCCTCCTCGAGACTCAGTTCCAAAGGAACCCCTGGTGTGGAAGTGCTTTTACTTCCCTTTGATGACTGCCTTTGATGTTCATTTCACCCTCACGCAGGCTTTGCAGAATTCCCAAGGTGTGGGACTTTCGCAGCGCACATGTGTGATTTGCCCTGGGCCCTGCGCTCTCCGAGGGAGTTTTCTGTCCCTACCTTTTATCTCCAAAGCACTGAGAAATTCTAATGAATCTCTGCCCATCTGGGCTGTAGAGTATCTGTCATATATGCACTACCAACAGCACTTTATTTAAATATTATCCTCCTTGGAAGCCATAGACTTAAAATATTATAGACTGATTTGGAAGCTCTTTATTATAACCCTGGATTCGCAGGGAAAATCGTGCTCCCTGGCCACGTGGTGACGAGTGCCAGCCCGTCTTGTGATGTGGGTGGGTGGCGCCAGCCTCCCCTCCTCTCCTCCCACCCACAGGTGTTGAGTGTCTCACACTCATCTCTCCAAAAACCTCAATAAACTGGCTGGCAGGCTGCACCCAGCCTGTTGGGAGACAGGTTGTGATGATAACACAGCTTTTAAAGCCAGATTTTAGTGAGTTCCTCCCTCATCCCAGAAAGACACAAGAAGAGTGGCACAAAGGGCAGGACCCACTCTGAGCATCACTGGTATCAGTCAGTTGGCTGTGAATTACCCACTTGCCTATGAGTAGGGGTTGGCCAAGAACTCTTGGGTGAGATGAGAGCTGGTCCCTGAGATGGAGAGAAACACCCCTTGTCTCCCTGGCAGTTCAGTCCTTTGAGATATTTTTTGTGTTGATACACCCTCATTGCTTTGAATGGCTGGCTGTATTTTTCTCATTAAGGGGTCACTCCCTGTCCCCTCTCCTCCAGTGCCGGTGACAGACAGGGGCACTGATGGGTGGTGACCTCCTTCTCTCCACGTGTCCCCTCAGCTCTGTCACCACATATGGTCCCTACTGTCCCTTCTGTCTCCTTTCCTCCTCACTTGCTTGCTCTTTCATTTCATTTCATTTCTTTTCTTTTCTTTTCTTTTTTTCTTTTCTTTTCCCTTTCC